CTCATATATCTATAATCAACAAAGTTTTGGAGCACAATATTACTTAACATGACTCATTGGATGCTTTCCGATACAAAAATGTATCAGGAATAACAATGGTCCCTTTTACTCTTATGGAAATATTACTATTGACCTTTAAAAATGTTGCCCTTTGGGTCAGTCCCACTGATGCTTTATGCCTTAGAATCTGCTCTGCCTGGAAAGACAAATTACAGATAAACTTTTAGAACTCTGAGCAAAAGGACTGTTTTTCATCATAGAAACAGATAGCAACATCAATTTCCCAAGAAAAAATATAGACATTTCAGCTGTGCATCCCTAGACCAAAAAGTCATTGTCATAAAAACCCACAGCAGTAAGTTTGCTTTGAAAGCTTTAGTTATGACTTCACCAGGTATTGCTTTATGCTTTTCTACTGCATCCTAACTTGGAATATTAAGCCAATCCTGAAATTTAAAATAGCAGTAAACTAATCAGCAAGAGACATAAAGTTCATAGGTATGAACCTGTTACTGTAACATATGATGTATACATCCTAGTGAAGCCAATAGAATATATCCATTACTGTCAATGCTCTTTCAGACAGACTTTTCTAGAAGCAGAAGTGGCACTTCATATCAGGAATAGGTATGTGTGGCCAAGCTCAGATCTGTTATCTGGGCTTTTTTTACAGTTTTGTGTGGCTGAGCGCAGAGTTCAGGTTTCTTCTCTAGCTGCTTCCCCAGATCTTACTCAAAGCCTGTTAGAGGAGGAAATTCAGTAGTCTTTGAATCAGGACATCCTATAGCTCTGCTACTGCAAATGTGTCTCTGGCCATGCAGGTGTACTGTCAGAAAGGTGTAATGTGTGGAGATCTTAGCACAGAATCACTCACTGCTTAGTACCAGTCCCACTGGTTTCATGCAGCACTTGCCTTTAGACCATCCACATGGACACAAGCATGTCTTCCTTATAAATTACAGCCCAACTCACAGTGTGCTAATTAACATCCAAAGAGTAGTACCTTTGATGGCACAGAACAATTTATATTTTGCTATAACCTATTTTAATACACTGAACCACAGAGCCTGGCACTAGAGGAGGATGAAGGATTGTGCAGAAGAGATATAATTGATAGTTGCTGGAACATCCTTTTTACTCTTCACTCTGTGGTGTGTTATTTACTAGAGACTAAAACTGAGTTAGTAACAAGATGTCATGGGACAAAATCCTTTTGCATCAAGTGAAAATATTACATTGTTAAAATCAAAATGGGTCCCTTTAGAGGTTAGAGTGGAATGCAAGTTTCACAATTTCTTTTTTTAACAGTCAGCAGACAGCCAGCTTAATTGTACTCTTAAAATACAACTCCAGTTTGGATCTGTCACAAAAATGAAGCATTTAATTGCTGTTCTAAGTGACAAAGATAAGCTACTCTCATTCCCACACTGAGGGTAGGGGCATCTGTAAGAAAACACAGACTTTTTTCAGTTGTTTCCTATGTGCTACAAGGGTGAATTCAATTCTAGGTAAAAAAACCCATAGCAAGTGACATGACAAAAATCTGAAAGGGTAATTAAGAACCAAAACTCCTTCAAATCTGGGATGAAAAGCAGGTAGCTGAAACTTGATTTAAGAGAAATTCTTTCCTGGCAAGTTCCACACACCACACACTCCCCTCCCCAGGTACATATTCTGTTTTACTTCCATATGGAGTCTGTAAAAAAAAAAAGTACAATGGTTCACAAAGCTCTATTGTGACCTTTAAAAATAAAACAATCATGCACTACTATGCTTCTGGAAAGGCCACTAGTGAGAAAAAAACCCCAAATTTCCCCTATCAGTCATGTACGAAGTGCCTGCTGGGGGCTGAAAGCTTCTTGGGCAAATGCACAGTATATACATAGGGGCAGCACACCTGGCTGTTGCTGCTGCTGCTGCTACTGCTTAGGACAGAAAATAGTACAGTAAGGTTCACATCTGCATGCATGTGAGCATGCTTGTGGGATGGGGGTGGGGGGGCATTTCCCAAAGAATAAATGCTCACTGAGCACTTCCTTGCCCCTGCAACCCAATAGGAGTTAGTTGCCTCACAGCCATCAGGGCCTTTGGAAAAGTCCCCTCTAATTCTTTTGTCCCAGACTCGTTGCTCCGAAAGAGTCCTGCTGTCTGTCTACAAAAACTAGTCAGTCTCTACATTCTTGTTCTCTACAGGACCTCTGGTGTTGGCTGCAGCAAAACCTTTCTAATATTTCATCTCTGGTTATGAGTCTCAGCTTTTTAGAGAGGCTGCACTTAGATAACAACTAAAATACCACATGCTCTAGATAGAGATTCATTTTGTCAATTTCATTCAGCTGGCAACATGTTGACTTTTTTGCAAAGTAAAGAAATAGCCATCTTTGTTTGCATAAAATTTTCTTCTTCATTTATGATGTTTATTCAAAATAGCTTAATGATTTTACTTTTCTCAAGATTCACTTGCTTGGAATTAATTGCTTCATTTTGACTGAAAGTAAAATTAGGAAGGTACATAATTAAAAAAAGGATTAATTCTGTCATCTTTACACTGGCAAAATTCCCATGAACTTTGGTTATTCACTAGAAATGTTGCCTGAAAAGGGATCATATAATCAAGCACCTCATTGCTACAGATTATATTAAAGCCAAATGAGCACACACAGAATTCCTGCACACAGAGTCCAAAAATGAAATGCAAAATGCTATTTGGTTTCAGCAGTTTTGAGATTTGCTGTTCATCACTGTTCTCACTCCAGCCCAGGTAAGAACATTAAGGTGGATTTAAATAATTCTTTTCTTGACATCCTGAGTCGTATTTCTTTTTAGTTTACAGACCTAAGGATATAAGAAAAGTATTTAATGCCCTAAGAATGTAAAAAAAAAAAAAGCAGAAAAATACAAGAAAAGCCCCACTGAGTTTAATATTTAGTTCATAATTCAAGGGCAGAATATGAACTGGAGGAAGCATGTTAGTGGCACTTGCTGCTGAGGCATCTCACATTCTGGCAGTCAGTGGCTTAGAGACACCTTGATCCAGAGGCAGAGTGCAAATTCCTGCATGCTTCCCCTATGAAGCAAAGATCTGCTGTCAGCAGCAGTGGCAGCCTGTGGAAGGGGTACTCTGGGATGTCCTTCTGCCTGCTTGCAGGCCTCATGCCACCAGCACCAGGCAGAGGGTCACTCTGGCTCCAAGTGCTCCTGGCACCTCCTCAGCTTCATCTTCCCCATGAAATCACAAAGAGAAACCACCTTTATCCCATCTTGTTCATGCATTTCAGCTCACTTTTTGGAAGCAATCAATGCTCAGATATAGATATTTTGGCTTGAAATAAATGAGACTGAATTTTCAGAGGCGTCAAACTCCCTAGCCTAATGGAGAGGTCCGTGTGAGACATGAGACTGATGCTCTTAAGCATCAGTCATCTGATGATGAGACTCAGCTTTTAAGCCTCTGAATGTGGATATTTGAAATATGCAATTCATGCATCTTTCTGAAATTCTTGCAATTTGTTGTTGAATCCAGTTAAAACTGGGCATTTTTAAGAGTGTCGATGTGAATATTTCCCTGGAAGTATGACTAAAAATGCTGGAAGATATTTTAACTCTAATCCATGGGGAGCTATTGATGGTAATAAAAAATACTGTGAGAAGAAAACAGCAGCAAGTGAAACTGCCCTCTCAGAAAGCCCAGGTCTGCTTTGAAGGAAGTGTTGATATTCACCATAAGCCTCAATCATTTCCCAGAGGGCTGTACGGTGCCTTGTAATGACATAATCAAAAAGTAATGGTGTTCTGGATTTAAAGGGGAAAAAAAAGCAGGGCCCGATCCATCTCCCATTGAAATCAAAGAGGATTTTGCTATTGACTTCAGTGAGAACAGAGTTCTGGACACAATCTGTGTGCAGTTTATTTGCACATTTGCTTATCCAAACATTCCTAACTTCAACCAATGGCATGTCTAGATGTCTGTCTGGGAGTACATCTGTAGAAATGTGTAAGTGTGAGTTTATAATGTGGTTTAATTCAAATCATTCTGGCATTTTAAAAACATTTCCAGCTACAAAGGATAGCTTTAGCTAAGTTCCAGCCCAGAATATAGACTCTGATTGAGAAGGTTTGTAACGCACATTTCAGCTTGCAATTCATATTCAATTTCATGCAAGCTAAGGACACGAACAGATTTTGCATGTGTGGGGTTAATTTTAAAGCGATGTTACTATGCGCTCAATTAAAATGTTGCAGCCATTATTTCAAAATGTGAAAAGCTCTACAAATTACCCAAGTCATCAGCTATAGTCCTTGGTTTCCTTGAAGGGAAATTTCTTTGATGACCACAACAAAATTGCACTAAACAGCAAGATTGCCATTATGAGATTGCTGAAAATGCAGGACAAACTCCTGATTGCTTTAGTCATGTGAACAACCCCCCCCAGAACAGCCCAAAGTCAGGCAAGGTGGCTTACACCAGGAGTTAATTTAGCCTGCTGGGACTCTTTGCATTACTAAACTGAGCATGATTTGGGCTTGTAAATGGGGGGTAGAATTTTATTTCACTTTCTGAGGGTTAGAATTTTATTTCCATTTCTGAGGGGCATACATCCATTTTAGAGTAAGCCTTTCAGAATAGAAGTTTACTTCATGTTATAGGAAATGACATTCCTTTTTTTTAGATTTCCCTTTCAAAGCATGCCTCAGATTTCTAACTTGTAGCAGAAAGCTTTGGTATAAGTAATAAAAGTCTTTAAAATTAAAATGCTAATCGCAAACAAACCCAAATGCATGAAAGATACAGTCTGACTGCATAACAAAAGAGAATTATATAATTCTATTTGAGTGAAATCTTTCATCTTTGATTTACAGGTTTGAGTCTGCCTATAACTGAAACCACATTGTTCCATATCTTTCATATCATGGCCTTCCTCAAAACCTTGTTTTAATTAAGGTTTCTTTCAAATTTCAGAATAAAAAGCATGACAGTCTTCACTTATGGCTTTAATATATTTTTTTTGAATTTGGAAAATATATAAAAAATGAATATCACTTGCTTTTAAAAGCTGAACGAGCTATCAAACACTGCAAGCTGCATACTTCAAGGTATATCCCGGGGTTCATTAGGTGAGAAAGTTGTAAACAAAATAAAAGTTACTGTAGCAGAGTTTTCTTCATTTGAAGTAGTCTTACATACATGCCCTATCTCTTTCTCTGACAGTAAGGCAACACGTGTAACAGTTTAAGCGTTCATTATCAGCTAAAGGCACAACTCTATGTTACGTTCTCAAACATGGAATTAAACAGCTAAAGTCACACTGCAGGGAGATCTTGCTGCACTTTGGGGATCTAAAATAAAGTCTAAACCCTTTGAAGCTTCTTAAGCAACAACAGTTTTCTTGGTGCAGAACTACATAAAAGAATCAGTTCGTATTCACATCACGACCTGTAAAAAACACCCCCACAACCTCCACAGAAACACCTGAGCTTCAGATGAGCTGCACGCAGTTACTGAAGATCGCTGCTTTGGAGTCAGAACGCAGAAACATTTCAGAACAAACTAAAAACACATTTGAAAAGCTATCCATACTTGATCTCTGCTGCACAGGTGGTGAGCGCTACTGTCAACTACAGAGGGTACAGAACTTTTTCTTAAAGGCAGAAGATCGCTTGTTTTAGAGAATCGTGAATATGTTTTTATGATAGAAAAGATTACATGAAATGTGGAGGGATGGCCAGGAAAAGGGAAGAGAAAATAAAGCACCACCAAGCACAGTACTTCGGGGGATTTATAGTACAATAAGAAGTGCTTTCCCTTTAGCTAAAATCCCTCATCATAATTTAAACACTTTTCACTTATTCAGCTAAGAACTTATTAGAGGAAGTTAAAAAATGGCACATAAAATAAGGGTGGGATTTTTTCTTCATTAAACAGAGCAAAGAAAACAAATTCTATTAACAATTTAACAGTATGAAAAAAATTACCCAGTAAAAAGTGTCAGAAAGTGATTCATGGAGTTCACAGAGTATGTTGCTGGCTGTTGCAATTCTCATATCTATAATCTATCATGTAGAATTTTGCAATACTCTATTTCACAATTTGTGTTGGTGAGTGGGTCAGACAGCGTATAAAAAGCATGCTCTAGGCTCTTTCTCCCAAGCCCGTTTTACTGTAACTCTAGAATTGTAGTGATTACATTTAAGGAATCTTTCGGGCTCTTTCAAGTCCATCCAAAGAACAAGTGAAGCTGCTATTCAGAATTTTGTGCCCAGTGTTTATGTTCCATCTGATCTGTGCCACCCAAGAAGCAGACAAGACATGTCTGAGGGTGCTTTGGGGGATACACAATGATGTCACCCACAGGAAATATCAGGGAGGACTTGGCACTTCACAAGGCTGGCTCTTCTTCCATGGGCTCACCAGCAGCTCTGTAAAAATAAACAGGCAATCAGAATACGGCACAAGAGTACACAATGACATTGTAGATTTTCATGCATAATCAAAGCTGATTTTTCAGCTCTCTCAGATGTTTATTTGTGTTATTCAGTTATCCATAAATAGAGTTTCTTTCCTAGGAAGTATAAACAAATGTCAAGTGGAAAAACATTTTAGATCCAAGCAATCACTGAAAATGTTCCTGTTTATATTAAAATATGTCAGAATATTTTATAACTTTTTGTCCAGAAATGTACATGCTTTGTGTCAACAGAGTCAAATAATTTCATGAACAAAATAGCTGTGATACTTTTATTTTACAAGCTTTTGCAACCAAAAATGCAAGCATTTACTTTTTCAAGTGGGTCCATACCATTAAAGCAAAATAGCTCAATAGTTGCCAAGTAGTAAGCAGTGTTTACTCTGGGTTCTTCTCAAGTCCTGTAATTTTTGATTTTATGTATTCATAAATACATTGGCTGCCCACCTGCTATTTCTGAGATTAAATTCTGAACCTGATCAGCAGCTACCTATTATTAGTTTCAAATCAGATTATATGTATACATTTTATTTTCAAACCTCTGGAAAATATTCAGCTTAGGCAAGATGAGCTCTCTATGGCAACTGATAAGAAAATAATGAGGACATACAGGCTGAGCTGGTGTAGAGTGTCATAATGCCTTATATGTGACAAGTTACTGCACCTGAGGATTATGATGGCAATTATAAAATGGGAAGCTTCTGAGATCATGGCAAGACTTCACTATTGCAGGGCAGGAGAATTTGGACAGAAAGCATTTTTCACCTCAGTCTGCCAGAAGACCATATGACAAATGAGCTTAAGACCTCCTTTAAAACAGTAAATTCAAGCAATTTCAAAATGAGAGGAGAGTAAAAAGTGAATGCAAATTAATAAATGAGATGTTCACCAGTTGCATCTTATAAACAAGTATAATAGCTGGCTTCGGTAAAACATCCCTCGGAAAGTACAAACTCATGAGATCCTATGGAAAAAAAAAGTAATTAGTGGGGTATTGCTTGGGTTTTGATAGTTTATTCAGCAAGGAAGCCAGAGAATTTTAAATGAATCTGGAGTTTATTAAAGTCTTTCCCAATGAAACAATCAGGAGTGTGTCTTTAAATGATTTTATACAGGTTATTCCTTTATGATTTGGAATGATCACATCTAGTATGTTGAAAAATATGTCATATGAATGGTACATGAGAAAGAAGTTTTTCAGACTAATCGCTTTCCAAAAGGTATTGACCCTAAAAGATTATTAATCTATAAATCTCAAATCTTTTATTCCTCACCACATGGTGGAGAATGTTTCCTATGTACAGTAACCACTGTAGCTCCCTCATTCCTGAGGGGCAAGTTGAAGCCCTCTTGCATTCCCTCTTTTTCCCCCCTTGCATTGTTCTGGCTTGCAGCAGAGACCACATGGTTGCAGCCAGGGTAGGATGGAGCCCAGCCTGCTGCTGAGGTCCTCAGGTGTGACAAAGGATCACACACCATGCGGGCAACTCATTTTGATGGTGCGTGTTGCTGTTGTGTTGACCACACACTTCCACTTTCTCCAGCCACTTTTAGGAGACCTGAATGTGCTCTGGCATAACACAGAAGCAGAATAAGTTCTTGTTAAACACCCAGAAAGAGGGTCTTAAACACTGGAAAGAGCATAATCTGGAAGCAGATGACAAGCCAGTTTTTAGGTTTTGCCATGAGTAAGCGAATGAAAAGGAATAGCTGTCAATAGATTTCAACTGGAGACTGGCAGAGCAGGAGTGGAGCTCTGGAAAACTTCTGGAAGTGCGAGTGGTGGTTTGGGTTATTTATAAGGACCTAGGGAACCAGTACATGCAACAGTGTGTTCACATGTATTTGGCTTCTGGGACTGACATTCTTGTGACCATAGTACAACTGAGAGAGGATCTTATTCAGGGCTTTAGCCTTGGGCAATTTTTCACTGACAAGGGTGCTTCTGAGTGCCAGGACTGACTTTGAGTGCTATATTCTAATATATTCCAATATATTTCACTAAAGGCCAATATTCTGCATCAGCCAGAGCATAAGCACCATAGAAATTTTTATATGCAAGTGCCAGATGTAAGGTCCTTTCTGGAGAAGCAGAGGATGTTAGAGTGCCCTGGCAACCCAGCTGTTGTCTCTCAGTGTGGGTACTCTCACAACCTTCCTCAGGCTTCTTTTGAAGAGTTATGTGTATGATTTAATTTGATTTTATTCATGTGAGAGAAGTCACTGGACCTATCCAATCATTAAAAATATATTTTTATGGGATAACGGCTCAGGCCAGAGTTTTGTGTGAGAGCCTGTAAGGTTTTAAGGCCCTCAGAACATAGAGAAAAACACTATGTCCCATAGCATTGAGCAGTGAATCAATATATACCCATTCTGCCAAATTCAAAAGTTCTCAAAAGAAGAATCAAGGGGGCAGAGTCTGACAGGCCAAATTTATATTACTTCAGCTTTGTCACTGTTAGTTACATCAGTTCAGTCAGTCTTCCTGCAGCTGACAAGAAGTTGGCATGAAAACATAAAACAGGCAAAACCCCCTATACTGTATTTTATGCTCTGACTGGTTCCTTGACATGCAGCTGTGAGCTCAGGTCTGATCTGAGCTGATTCCATGCAGTCAGCAGATTTGGAAAGACACTGGTTGGGATTGTAATGATTGTAGAACCACAACTGTGATTTTTCTTTCACTGTGGCTTATTTATACTGCAAGTTTCTAAGAGCTTAGCCTTCTCACATTCACTCTCTTTATTTTGGTGTGCTGGGAAGAGTGCTCACCTATAGCTCTCTAGATGTACAATTCCATGGCAGAATGAAGCAGTCTCTTTGCAGTCAACACTAAATTAAATTATTCTGTTTAAACCTTAAAACAAAAGAAATAGAGAAGGCAAAAATACTACCATATGGATAAAATCTGTCAAAACATGTGACATCTTAAGTATTGTTCAATGGCAATTGCAAATAAATGTTATTTATGAGAATATAATTTAAAATAATTTGTATCTACAATTAAAAGTTAATATTTAAGAATATATATAATCTCAGTACATCATCCAAAATATGTACGTTTCTCTTACCTTATTTTTTTAATTAGAATTACAGAGATTCCTCTTAGCTACATCATCACACACATAAAAATAAAAATCCAAGGTATGCTTCCAAGTCACAGAAACTGCTGAACAAAAGAGAGATTTTTTGGCATGTTTTATGCCATAATCTGTTCCTAATTTAACTCAGCTGTCTCAGGGAAGATCATTCTAATTGAAAAGCAATCCTCTGGTAGTAGAGAGCTGGAGAAAAGGAGGTGCATTTCTATACCATTGAGATGATTCGGAGAGTGACTAAATACATCAAATAAGAGGTCCTGAGTAAATGTATATCCTAGTAAAAATGGACTTTGTGCAGATCAAAGAGAAAAGAACTAAAAGTAAAAACCATCCTAGTTTAAGAGCAGAATAAGGTAACTACACATATACTAGAAAGAGGATGTAATGTCCAAATAAGGGAAATTAAATAAAATACAAACTCTGGCAAGTGAAATGTAAACCCTCAATGAAGCAGACCAAAGGAGAGTCTGAAGAGCAGCATGTTAAAGGCATAAAAGCTAATAATAAAAAGATCTTTCAAAATACATCAGAAGAAATGATCAAAGCATAAAAGGAGCATCAAGGAAGGTAGACCGCAAAGGCAAAATGAACTATTTATATCTGGGTTCACTAGAGAAGTGTCAGGGAGATTTTATTATTTGCAGATGAGCTATCTTAAACGGAGTCAGCACTAGGACAAACTGATACATCAAACACTGTCAAATTGCTAAGAGCAGATGATATTTGTCTGCTGAGTTCTAGCAGAATCCAATTAGGATGTTAAAGAAACAGTTATTGAGCATATTCTATAGCTTAACTCAGCATTCATGCAAGAGGTAGAGAAGGCAAGAAATGCAATTTTGCTTTTGGAAACCACAGGAGATACAGTAAGCCTGTATAGGGAAGCTGAAAGCAGCTATAATCAGTGATAGAATTAGTAGGCATTTGTAACAGTAATTTGGATAAGAGTTAGGGCTTAACACTTATAAAGAAGGCAAGCCTAAAAAAATTATTAGAAGTCTATGAAGGAAATTAGGGAAGAGGGATCAAGTAATATCCCTGTGCAATGAAAGTTTTCAACCATTTTATCCAAGTGCTTTGAGGAACCTAGATGATGAAAGAAGGTCCTTTCACAGATTAACAATCCATCAAAAGTAGGAAACAGATAATAATATTGGTGAATTTTCACCATGGAGAGATTCTCCAGAGCATCTCAAATAGATTAGGCAGACTACCAGAGGTTTAGGTGATGTTTGCCGATGATGCCAAATTGCTGATACTAGTCAGTTGTAAGGCCCATAACATTTTCAAAATGGAAAGGAAGGCAAACACTAACACAGAATACACAAAATGGGGGAGGATAGCTTTAACTGTTTCTCTATGGTGACAGCTACAACTGAGAGCTTGGAGTTAATGGTAGTGGAGCAGAGAGCAATAGAGACAAAAAAACCTCCAGTATTAATCTACTGTGTAAATCCACAGTGTGCACCTGCAGTCCTGCATGCAGTTCTTACTCCATCTGAAAGAAACTACAAGAAACACAGAGAGGGGCAAAAATAATCAGAGGTAAGAAATTATTTTCATACCAGGAGGAAACAGAGTCCTGAGAAATTGAAACCTTTAAAACTGAAAATGGGGCAAAGACTATGAGTAAGAAAAGAGCTGCTTCTCTTTCTCAGAATACAAGCACTGGGGGTTGCCCTGTGATTTTTTTCAGTTAATAAGTTTAGAACAAAGAAGTTCAATGCCTGATGAGGGTGTGGGACTCACCACCCAGGTGCCAGAGGTGTAAGCTGGTTCAAAAAAGCTTTGAAGATTTTATGCCTCTGAGTGTATCTTGGAGGCTTTTACACAGGATAGTCAGATACAGCTGTTGAGATCTATCAACTCACTAGGGTAAGGCTGGTTCTCAAACTCTTCCGCTCCTGGTTCTCTTCTTTATGCACCTACCAACAGGGGATGAGAAGGAAGTGGGCAAGATAAGGCTGCAGGCTGACCTGGAGAAGCTGTTCTTCAGCTCCTGAGCCTAGATGTAATTGCAGATCCTGTGGGGTATGGGCAGGTGGGTGCTGGTTACTCAGCACAGCTGAGGCAGACATCCAAATAATGAACTGTCAAGTGAAGCTTCATGAGTTGGTATACAAATACAGCAAGTGACCCTATACGGTGGCTAGCTGTTCCCCATGATCCAACCAGTTGCTCTGGTAAACAATATAATGTAGGTAATATAATGCAATGTGACTGAAACTGCATCTAGTAGATCTGTAATATTAAGACTAAAAATTACACTTGGTTTTCATTTCCATTTGGGTAAAATCTATGTTCAACTGAATCAGAGCCATAAAGTCAAATCCTGATAAATGTCATTCTCAAGATTTACTGTTTCCTGTAAAAATAGTAAGTGAAAGAGACCTCCCTCCACACCCTTTTCTTTTTTCCATTTTAAGAAGAAATATACAGAAGCTCCGATGTATCAGGGACCGCACTGCACTGAATATTTTCACAGCACTATTTCTGAAAAAGATGTCTGGGCAAAGAAAAATTATAATCAGCTAAATCTGTATCTCACATAGGGAATAAACAGTTATCAATATGCAAAAGCCATGGTAGTTAGAAATGTTTTATAGGGCATGCCTGTTCCTTTAATTGCATCTGTATTTAAATGTGTTTGCATCATGCATGTTTTCTTTCCTATCCACAAACTCTTTTTTCTTTATCTGTTTTCTTCCAAAGTCTATAATCAAGATTCAATTGGACCTTAAAATGCAGAGTTGTGCTTTGGTAAAATAAAACAGCAAAAGTGTAGCAGCCTTTCAGTTTTTTTCAGTTACCCTGCTAGAGAAAATCAAGTACAAAAAAATCAGCACTGTCACTTGAAGAATAGAAAGAAAGAGAGAAGAAAGAAAGAGAAATACTTAATATGGGCCTTAGCCAGAAGCATTTTATCCTTTATTCATCAGTGGTAAATGAGTCAGATATGAGTTGGCCAAGAAAAGAGCTGCTTTACCCAAAATCTGAGTTAAAAGTGAGTCATCTTACTCCAAACACCAATATACCCTCCGACATAACTGGCAAGAGTTTCCCACAGAGAGACTCTTGCTGTTTCTCTCTTCATCTGGAGGCCTGACCATCCAAAGCTGAAGTCGACAGGATCTCTACCATTGAATCAGTGAGACAGAATTAGAGTTCCAGGCCAGAACTATCAGCCTGGCCGACCTTGGCAGAAATTAAGAGGAAGTAAATCGACTCCTGGTGTAATGAAGGAACCCATCAGGCTGCCCTGTCTGACATGATGCTTTCTGCTCTGATCCCACCCTACCCGTTACAAACAGCTTTCCCAAACACTCAGTCAATATAAAAGCTCTCAACAGGTCTTCAGAAGGTAGCCCAACCTACAACAGTGGGAGGAAGGGCACATCTACAGGGGTCTTACCAACATGATTCCTCACATCCTGCAGCCCTGTATTTGCCATAGGAAGAGGCTGGAGAAGTAGCATTTATTACAACATGCATTAAAAATTTGAAAAAGCAAAGTTGAACTCATCTCTACCTTGCTGCAGTTTGTGTTGGCATGTGCTTATGAAATGAACAGCATGTTTATGTGAAATGAATGAAATTATACAGAACCAGAAGTGTGCGATGTCATAGAACCAGTCCCTGGATAACCCATGATGGACTTGCATTCATTCACTCAAAGTGTAGCCATGTCCTCTTGGGTCTCCCCACAGTTCAGAGTACCTTCAAAATGAGATTTCAGGGGGATAATTTTTGATTCCATATTCTTCTTACATTCATCAGGAAGAAAACAAAGAGAATGATGCCCAGAAGCCTCAGAAAACCTAACTATCAATTTTGGTCCAGTACTTTTGTTGTCGTGTCACTCTCTGATGGCAATCTGGCTACATGGGACTTCTTTGTGGGTTACGAATGTGGAAACAGACTTTGGAACGCATGCGTGCGTGGGCGTTTTTTTGTGCTGCTGACAAATGTCTGCAGCACCACAGAAGATATTTCAAACGAAGCCATTTTTCCACAGAACAATTCATCATGATGGATTTGTCCTATAAGAGTTCAGAACTGATGAAGTGTAATGAATCTGGCAGCCACATGAATTCCACTTGTGTACATTTCAGCACATCCGTTTTTTCCCATTTTTCGCAGCTCTGCCCTGAAATTCTATTTACACAATGGGTGGAAACTGTCACAGGTTATCAACTGGTAGGTAATAATTACAATAGTGAAGTACAGTGTTAGTCAAAGGGTTATTTTGTTCAAATCATGTAGGATCAGCAGTTGCTCTCAATAGCTGTAGTTTTGAGCAAGTGGAGGCACATAACAAACACAATTCTTGGTTATTTTGAGCAGTGTAAAAACACATAAATTAACCACACCCTTTTCCAGACAATCTAAAGCTTTGCTTTGACTGCATTAGTTCCAACACTTTAACTAAAATTCTTTGTATTTCAGAGCTATGCATGCAAAAGTAGGCACCTTTCTGTCCCTAGCTGGCAGAAGTGTATTGTAAATGCCAGAAATTTATAGGACAAACCTTATATTATTCCTTAGCTGCACACTGATTAGCACAGTCACAAATCTAAAATACATCCTGTGTTCATCATGGATTCTTCCTTAAGCTTTTATGGGTTTGTTTGCAATAATCCTAGCACAAGAATAGCCATAACATATTAAAATATAATTGCGATCGGAAAGGTAATTATGAAAATACTGTGAACTTTACGAGCTAGCTCTGCTCCCTGTGTGTCCCTTTGAGCTGTGCCTCTCTACTCATTGGCGCATGAGTGTTCCCACTGTTGTGAGAGATGTTCACTCCCAAACACATCCATAGCATTGAGCACTGCACTAGTCCCCTGGGTGCCTATCTGATTAAAAGAGCCAATGTGGGAGGCAAGAACCAAAGCAAAAAAGAAGCTGTCACAACGTAGGAGCCATGGATCCTTCTGGCGCTATTCCCACCACAACTCTGCCTACCCACATCTCCCTCCTTTCTCTCCTGTTGCTCCACAGCTCTGCTCCACAGCCTGCAGGGAGCTGATGAGTCTCCTTATAAGGTTTTATTCATCTTTCCTCCTCCCTCCCCTGTTTTTTCTGTGTGATAGAAACTGAATGCTTCAACTACATTTTTGGTCTTTCTCTACTGGTGAAGACCAGGAGTGTTTGTCCTTAAAATGAAAAATAGGAGACTCCATGAACTTCTGCAGTGGCTTTTCTGGTTGTAGATGACAGTATTCAGTGACTATAAATTTTTTTTCATCTGTAATTGGCAAAAAATACAACTGCACTTGTAAAATGGTACACTGTAGCATTTTCTCTATTTGGAAATTGAAAGCAATCTTCATCAATGTAAAAAGCAGATGACAAGCTGGAAAAAACAGCATCCTCATTCTTTGCTGGTGTACCTTCATCTTGATAGACAGAAAATGTTGGCCTTAACCCTGGTCAGAATTGCTGCAAGTTTTATACTGGCACTGTTCCACTGCTTCCTGGGAAGTAACTTTTAATGCCTGTCTAATATCATTTCATAATTATTTAAGTCCATCCTAATCAAATTAATCTTTGTGTTAAATGCCTTCCTAGAAAATTAAAACTAAAACACATTTGAAAAGCTTCCAATGAGATGAATATGGTCGATTACACTTGATCATGTCCATTTACCTCATATGCAGTACTAGTCATGAACTTTAGTAAAGAAATAGACACACCAAGAAAATACCTACTAGCATAGAAGAACTCTGCTTCCCAGGGATAAAAAGTTCCAGCTACCTCAATTATCAGATAATTTCGAAACAACTCTTAGTCTATCTGTCTTCTTTGTCTCACTTGGCTGGAGGGAAAGCCTTGTTCTCTACAATAATTTCATACACTTACCTGCTGCCTTCGTGAGGGATGCACTGTTCAACATCCACTGAAAGAGAGGCCATAGCAGAAACTGTTTCTGTCTCCTCCCTCTCTTGTTTCTGAGACTCAGCCAGAGCACAATCCACTGGCACAGTGTATGGCTCCACTGACTTCCAGTACTTGCCTAAGGAAAACACACATAATAATTTATGGGAATTTTAGCTAGCATGGTGGTACAAGCACAGTAATCACTTAGTTCAACTCTGAGTGATTGTAATTTAAAATCACTGCAGTGTAAGCAGCACAGTTGAAATTTCAGACTGCAGTGAAGAGGTATATTTCTGAACCTAAGAATGCCAAGTTGGAAAGTGCTTTCATTCCATGGGCTGTGTCACACCCTTCTCCAGAAGGTAATAAACTGGAGGAGTAACACACAGACTAATGAACACAGACTGTCAGGCAGTCTAATGGCTTTATCTACAAAAGGTGAAGGGAGTTCAGAGCAGGGTTAATACCTAGAAGCTCTGATATGGCAGACAGTCGATGCACATACAGCAAAATGTAGAAAAATGTACATTGTTGCACAAAGTGCTCACACAGCACTGTCTTGAAAAGGAAAAAAGTCAGAAATGCCAGCTCGGACTGAAGTGGGGTTGCCAGAACAATCAGGTTTGTTAGTCCTGGATGTTCTTTCTCCTCCAGCCTCAGGGCGTATACTAGAACAATAATTTATTTAAAACTTTCATATATGAACTGACTGTTGCTGGAAAGCTGCCAGGTATCATAAGGAATAGAACTTTCTGGTTCGCTGTGTAAAATTTGCTGTGTAAAAACACAGCAGTGGATTAAAAGCAGGAGTGTTTTCAGCTTTCTGCCTGCAACAGAAGAAGGTCCTCAAGTGACACTAACAAGGCAGGTGACTCATCCCCAACATATAAAGTGGTCTGCTACTGCAAGGCTATTAAGAAACATGTTGATTATCACTAACCGCGTGAACAAGCAAGCATTTATATGTATATTTCTTAGAGTCCAGTAAACCACCGAGCACTCACTAATTTCCAGGTGGATGACACCTGGGAATTATGAGCTTTGGGAAGGCTGGGAGCTCTGGACCAGAGCTCACTCTGTGTTTAGCAAGAGGCTTTCAGCAGCTGCTGCAGAGGTTGGATCAGGGTACTTATCTGGGAATTAGATGGAGGGTTTCAACAGCTGTGAAAGAGAGGGGATCAAGTGGGGGACTTTTCCAAGGACTAGAAGGAGGATTTTGGCAGCTGGGCAGTGGGCTGAGCTGAGGTGCTTATCCGGAGGGTAGCTGGAGGCTTTGACAGCTGGGAGGCCAGACCAGCAGTGGTGCTGCCTGTGCTGCACAAAGGCTGCTGAAAACTCCCTCTTTGGTAACACAGATCTCAACACAGTTTCAGGCTTTTGGAAAGATGAACTTTTCCCTCCAGTGAGAAAGCAGCTGTCAATAAAGCCTGAAAATGTCTTTATTCAAAAACATCATTGCAAGATGAAAGCCCAAGTCAATCTGCAAGAACAACCAGTGAGCATGGCCAGCGTGGTTCTTTGAACTCTAATAGTGTGCACGTTTGAGTAGTTAGCAGAATCTTTAAATAACAGGGACCTTCTGGGGATAAAATGTAAAGTGTATTAAGTATCCTACAAAGTTGAGATTAAGTGTTAAGAGGTTGGCTTTGCTCCAGAAACATGAAAGACAGAGCTAAAAAGTTATGTACATAACAGTAGGCTCAATGATTGGAGCCTGGCAAATTTTATAAAAACAAGACAAAAATATTCTCTATTATTACTGTGCTCAGAGACCATATTCTCTATTCATTAAAAAATACACTAAAAACAAACAAAAAAAGTTATATGAGCATTCCAAAATGTTCTCACAGATCATATGTGCAAAAGTCAGTCTTTGCAATATACACCCAATTCAAACCCTATAATTTATGAGCTAAATGTTCGCAGAGTGGGTGGGGTTTTTGTTGCAGAAACAGATGTGCAAGAAAATCAATTCTGTTGGCATGGGAATAATACCCCCTCTTGCCTATAAAAGAAATGAACCCATGTTCACTGCTGGAGTTTTCAAGGGCTCTTATTCATAAAATAAAATATTAGTACCCAGCTACCACTGTGTTGCTCTCCTGCAGCAACAATAAAACAGCATCAGTGAGGATTGCTGCATCACATTCGTTCATTCACACACAGGCTCACACCAGCTGCCCCCTGAATCCTGACTTTCTTGTAACACTAAAACTCAGAGCCAATTCAAGCATGTTAGTAGGCTCTCTGTGCCCATTTAACTGCCCTTCACTCCCAAGTGATCGTTGATTTTCCTTGTTTGCCTGTATTGAGAGCTGTGTTATGAGAGGGGCTTCAGTGATAAAGAAAGGGCAGAGCTAGGCCAGGAAGCAGGTGGCAGCACCTATGCTGCAGTGGAGGGTCCTGGAGAAGGGAGGTACATGGTAGGATGTTTGTGGTTTGTTGGGGGAAATTTTAAATCAGTCCCAATTAGGAATAGCATCCAGGTACCAGCAGGTACCTCATGCAATGAGAGCTTTCTGATACTTGTGAAGAAGCAATAGTAGATTTTTTTCTTTAAAAACAGAAAAGTGTACTTTACAAACACCTTCTGGTAAGCAGAACAGCTTTGCAAACTTCTTTTCATCCAGGACAACATTTATATGTCGTACATAAAGCATACAGGCCTTGAATACATGTTCAGCTAAAGGATTTGCGTGCAAAGTGTTGTGGAATGGAGAGGCGATCACAGCATGCAGCTGCAAAGGAATGATGTTAGAAGTCCAAGGTGTGCTGTGGACTGGCAATTAAATGAGCTCAAAAAGCATCTGCCTCAAATTGCTCACATCTCTGAAAATGCCATTTCTACTGTGCTATACTGGAATGTGAAACTCTAGCAGTCCTGTTACATTCATTGAGAAGAACTTGGTGGAGCTCAGGGGAAACAATGAAGCATACTGCTGGTTTCATTCATACAAAACTTGAGCAATCACGACTTGCAAGAACAAACAACGTAACCAAATCAGTCTTCTAGGTATGCTTTGGCTTTCAGCATGAAAATGTGCTTAAGTCTCCCTCAAAGATTTGTGGGAGCACTGATTATTACCAGGAAATACTAAAAGGGAATGTTTCTGTCATTCTTACAGGCATCTGGAATTGCCTTTCACAGATAAATTTGGACTATGGCTTGCTTGAAAAAAAACTGTTTGGGGATGGTATTCAACCTAGTGAACAGGATTGTTTATTTGGACTATGGCTTGCTTGAAAAAAACCTGTTTGGGGATGGTATTCAAGCTAGTGAACAGGATTGTTGAGAAATAGCAAATTACATGGGTGTGGGAACTCCTTCTTCCAAATGTATTACATTTCTGAAGCAGCTTTGGATCACTGTCACATACAAAACATTCATACAGATTCTATTCTAGTTAGAAAAAAAGTTGTTTCTTTATTGTCTAAGTAAGTATTGTATCTACGTTATTTTTTTGCAAAAAACACAGAGGAGAGACTTTTTTTGGTCTAAAATACGAATAATATTCACTGTGAAAGTTGGATCACAGAAATACAGACCCAATACACATGCAAGAAATGATCCAAACAAATCAGGCTTTCTCAGTGTCTCTTGAGGTGCTACTCCACAGCCTAATGCTTTTCAGCCTGCATAACTCCCTATAAAGCTCAACATATACTTGCTCCTTTTAGATCTAAATATGCATCCTCCATAAAGCTGCACTGAACTTCCTCAGCCCTACTTTCTGTCATCCAAGCATATTCCTTTCTAATACTTGGTCTCTTTCCAGACAAAATGAGGAATGTATAACTTATTAGGTAATATCTGCAACAAAGAGAAAAATAGTATGTATTAATAACTCTAAACCCTAAGCAGCCTGACTTAGGTTTCAGAAGAGCCCAATGGACTGCATGACTGTACCAGTTCAGCTCAAACCTAAGTGTGGCAAAATAAGACACTCTGCAGATCTCTGGTCTATGTTTTCAGACACACTATATGTTTGTTACTAAGTCCACCCCTTCTCTCTTTCTCTCTGAACTGCCATCATTTCTGTGTATTTCTAGTAAGACACTATGCCTTTCAAGAGCCATTTGTTTGTTTGTTTGCTTCTCAATTCACCATTTTTGTTTTGTTTCAGATCCAGTTTCCATTAAAAACATGTCTTGTTTCAAACACAATTGCACCTCCTTTCCTCATGTCTGTGGCCTGTGTGCAGCATTCTGCCCTCATTGTCATTTGCAAATCTGTTCTATCTTGCATAGTACGTGAATCTCCTTGACTTGCTCACTCCTTCCAGATCATTAACAGATTATTAACAGGGAATTTTAACCCAGGAGCTACCCTAGGACATACCACTCAGCAAAAGGACTTACTGGAATTTATCATATACAGCTGATTTACTTAGAGCATTTGCATTTCTAAGTGTCTTCTGGATGTGAAAGATGAATTATATAACTAAAATAAATATTCTTTGTCATTTTACAACTCAGATCAGATTGAGAAGCACTGCATGATCAGTGGATAATTCATGGTATCCCTTTAAAGAAACTGCATTTATTTTATGCAGATGAATCCAAATGATTTGTGATTCATCTAACATGAAGAAAACCATTTGTTATCCATTTGTTATTGTTAAGGAGCCAGTGAAGAGTAGAAGTCAGGAAATTCCCACTGCCTCAGAAAACAACATGAACAGAATCTGAAGAAACTATTTGTTAGAGCTCTAATTTACCTGTCTGTTCCTGTCCCTCACTGACAAACATCTATTTCATCCAAGCTGCTCTGGAATGGAAAGATTTGGGAATATTCAGGAGTCAGAAATCTCTAAATAATTTTGATGGGTTAGTATTTAAAGGTGAAATGCATAGCAGACACAAAGAGACATCAAAGGAATAAAAATAAAAGCATATCTATATATATATTATACACAGCATGCCAGTTTATACATAAAACATTGGCCCACTCTGTTCTCTGAAACAATAATGTCTATGACATTAATTAGTAATAAAAAATACCCCAAACCCACCAACCCAACAACCCAAACTGAGAAACATACTTTGAATTTCAGTGGTCTTTTTTAAAGAAGCTATTGCATTCATATTGGGGATTTGGTGCACAATATCTTCCGGGAGAGGCTCCAGCTGAAAGAATAGAATAGAATAATATAAATAATCAGTAAGCCACAGGGACGTACAACAAACTGAAACAATCTAATCCTCAGGAAAAGCTCAGCCCAAGAACTGGTTAACATTTTGCTGCTATCAGTTCTAAATGTATAGCCATGATTTTGTTTTCTGTTTTCCAGCCATGTAATTGAATTCCAAGGGGCTTTTCTATTGGCTGCAAGACTAATCTATGGAGTCTCTGAAGCAGGTGCATGTCTGTATATTATTCATTAAAAAATGCTAGTTATTTGTGTAATTTTTGTAGGTTTCTCACAAACCAAATTCCACTGCGTCTGTATACACAGCTGGGCACTCCAAACAAAACCTTGCTGAAGCCGCATTGGAACCAAAGTGTGCATTCTATTATCTTTATTTTTTAGTGTTATTACATCTAACCATCTTACACATTTTAAGGTTTATAGGGGAAAACCATAAAACACAGCTGCTCCTACTAACTTTGCGTTAATTTCAAATAAAGTAGGAGACAAAAAATGGTTATGAAGATCAGCAGAAAGAGTTCTCCAAATAAGTTTTTTATAGAATCAGTTGCATTTTAATTAGCCAGTTTTAACTGTATATTCTTTGAGTAGGGCTGCATTAACAGAAGGAAATATTCAGTTACTGCACAGTTATTTTTGTCCTGCAATGGTTAGATATACCAAGCAAACTGTATTTTGAAATTCATCCACATGTGCTTTTTTTCCACTTTCCGTACATTTTCTCTTAGAGAAAGCGTAAAAAAAATTTTTTTGATAAATGTTTCTTCTTGCACCGTAATAACTATACCCTCTTTGAACTATTCCTAGAGTCCAGCCAGCTTTTCCACTTCCCCATGTAGGCTTCCACGGCTGGGTGTGCAGGCATGCTTCCTGAGGAGTAGCAACTATGTCAAGGTGGACAAAGAAGAGTGATATCAATACCAATCTCTCCTCTCTAAAGCTAAGGAAGTTCGACCACTGTTGACAGGAGACATCTGTACTGCAGACAAAACTCCTCTCTTAAGCATGCCTGGGTCTATTTTAAACTAGGTCAAGTGAAGCCCACCCAAGGAGCTTCCTCTGTGAAGTTAATAGTTCAGTAGCCATCATATATTGTCCTCCAGGTTGCTACTGCTGCATTGCTACCCACCAACTAGATAAAATCAGCTTTGATCCAAGCACACAAAGTGGGAAGTAACTGCAGTGTAGATACTCCCTTAGTGGTGCTATTTTAAGCAAGTTCAGCTACAAATCCCAGAACTTCTGGGATCCTGCCGTTACAATCAGCAGTGAATGCCTGTCAGCGATAAAGATGTTGCAAATATCACCAGACTTTTGGAGTCTTGGTAACTAAAATGAATAGGGCTGTTCATATCATTATTTACTTAGAAGCCCATATGGGATTGCAGCTGGAAGATTTTCTTGTAGCTAGAAACAATAGCACTATGTTTTGTTTTCAAATAGCATAAATCACTCCATTCTGCACAGTGAGCAAGTGTGCAGAGAAGTGCTGGTAGGACCTGACTGGGTCCCAGCTCTACTTCGTTACTGAAGAAGCCAGAGTGCAAAGGAAGACTGTTGCTATCTAATATCTAAGCAAATAGAGCAATTAAAATAAAATATTTGCAATTCTTGAACCACATTTACTTTACGATCTTCACAGATTACTCTATTTAGTAACTCTTGCAAGTACCTGGCGGAAAGAAAATGCCCACCAACTGATCAAGCTTCACAGATTTTAGAGCAATAATCCATATAATAATAATCCTAGCTTGAGTTATGTAGATAAATAGCATTTGCTTCATCACTAGTCATTTTCTGCTTAAAGTAATCTATCATTTGGCCAGGAAGAGGACAAAATCCTTAAGTTCTCTTTGGTCATGCCGAGTGCAGGAACATATAAGGGGAAGCATACAGTAGTTTTAGGTTCTGTACTGACAATTTCCTAATTCCTAAGGCTTTGAAAACCAATTCATTTCCCTGAAAAAAACCAAAATTCCTCCAGGCTATAGCAGTAGGAATAATAGTTAAAAGTATGGAATTGCCAGACTACAGTTAGTGAGAGCTGTGTCGCTTTGCACTTTGAGTACCAGGAGATTCTTTATGCAGACCATTCCTACTAATTATTAAAATGGGAGCAACTGATGTAGACACATGTATAGGAGATTTTCTGTCAAAAGGTGGCTATTTTGTTGCCCTCTTTAAAGCTGGATTTTTACAGGAGTCAAATTTTATTTTTTATTTTCCTAATATATCAAAACCATATCTTTATTTATCAGTATTAAAATTCTTCAACAAGTAGGCTGCATTTCATTATCTAGACATATCAGGTGACTATTTAGAAATGGCAGGTGTGGTTTTGGAAATCCACATAAGCTGATGAACCCTTAAAGAAAAGAAGAAATAGGGTAAAACATCCAACAATTATCCAGTCATTACTCTATCTGCTAGCTCTACTAACAGATTTGTAGATGACGCGAGTATAATATCCATGTTTGACCATTTCCTTAACAGTTTTTTTCACAAAACTTTTATTTTGTATTCCAAGCTTGGCTGAAGCAGACTCCTGAGCTATTCTGCCTTCTCACCCTCAAGGATAGCCTGAAAGACCTTGGACCCTCTTTCATATCAGGAAACCTTATCAGGCTCTACAAGTTCATTACATCATTTATCCTGCTCAGCAGTACCATTACGAAAACACTGCAGTAATAAAGCCAGTGGGTTATGGCAGCTATTTCTATACACTTTGAAATGAGACTGTCTGCATTCAAAAGTATGATTTCTGTTGGCAGTTATCCACTGGTTGGATACAACTGTATAGACATAGAGGTGCCCCTGGAAAACATCAGCAGCTAGACCCAACACTGAACAAAAGAAACTACACCTGGCATATATGGCACCATCACCTTCCCTCCTACACTTATTGGCATTCAGATCATGAAGTCTATTAAATCCGGAGACTAACAGAAAGGAAGCTGAAAAGAGCACTGGAAATACACTGTCAGGAAAGAAATCTGTCAGAGAAGAACAGCTCAGGTCTGCAGAAATAACCAAACCACTGGAGAGACAGTTTGGACCAGACACAAAGGGTCACATTTTCAAAGCTTTTACATGGCTGAATTGGGCTTTTGTGCCTAAAGTAGCAGATGAAAGTAGAAACTGTGTCCACTAATCATTTTCAAAGTAGGAAAAACAATGTAAATGGGCAAAAATCACTTGGGCTGCTAAAGTCTGCCAGAGGCATATCAACAAATGTTTGAAGAAGGAATTAACGATGGAAATTTCATGTGCCCAGAAAGGGATCTGAATTGATCCTTGGGAATGTGGAGAGAATCTGAAACTACAGCAGTCTGTACTGATCTGAAAATTCTAGCAATATCCACATTGTCCTTAGCACTGTCATGTTTTAAAGCACCAAGATTAGCCTCAGTGAAGATTGTTGCAGAGTGTAGTCAGAGATTACTGACAAGCAAGGCAAGTGCAAGCATAAGGTAAGGAGCAAAGGGAGTCCTGCCAGAGGCAGAAGAAAGGGAGAAGACAGGCAGGCTCCCCAGGGAAGCCAGGGCTGCAGTGGGAAACATTACAAACTCCCTTTCCTGGTTGCACTGTGCAAAAACCATGTCAGCACAAAGGCATCTTCATTGCTCTTAGAGTTGCCTATGACTACAGAGGACTGTGTCCAAAGATTTCACAGGTCCTCTGTGTTCTTATATTAACAATCTTCTCAAAGTTTCTGCATTTGCTGTTTATATATAACGGTTTCAGGCAGGTATTTTTGTAGATACACTGTTACAATGAAGTATATACACAAATCAGATTTCAACAGGGAATAAGTTCAAAAACACAAAGGATCAATAGTACCTACTAGTCCCTAAAAACCAAGCGATGCATTGGAATTATGCAACTTTGGAATCAGAATATTCCTTTTCCTTGGCCAAACCACTTCCTGACTAGCACTACACACCTTGGGAACTTTGATGTCACCATGCTGACCTCTGGCACATACATTGCTCCAGTTTCCTATCCCATCTAAATCTCTATTTTTAGACTCTGGGTTTATGCAAGCAGCAGTTGACAGGTGGCTTAGACTCATTGTTAATTATTTTCTAATTAGACTCAGATTAACAATGAGATTGTGAGATTGTGAGCAAGTTTACTATGCAATTTAAAATTGATCTCAGGCCATATTCACTTCCATGAATATTTCCATTTTGGAGAGAGAAATGCTTACCTGTTCTGGTAAATAACCCCTTTTAACGCAGTCCAGACCCTCTTGGCAGAGCTCACTGCCTAGCTGGCAAGCAGCCCCAGATTCACACCGAATTCCACAAAGGTTTTTTTTTCAGCAGGAAAGCTGCAGAGTATGAGCTTTCCACTTAAATTACCATTCCCTCCTAAATGCCAGCTCAACAGATTGCAAGAAAGAAGCACATACTTCACACTCTGCAAGAAAATTGTCCGGTGTAAGTTTTCAAGCATGCTTGGGAGCCAACCAATCACAATGTTTTGTCAAATTCTGCTTCAGACTGAAATTCAAGCCAGAAGAATATTTACTAGAAGATGTTAAATTTAGTCACTTAAAAATGTTTTTACACTTAGGGCCAAATTCAGCCTTGGCCGCCACAGTCAATGAGAGCAGACATGTATCCTTTCTGAGCTTTTGTTGCAGGGTCCTGCTGGGCAGAGCACACTGTGGACAGAACTTCTCTGCTTCCTTTGTGCAAAGAAGAGCATGACCCTGTCTGCGACTAATTATCACTTGTTATAGACCACAGTAAACTGCTTTACCATGGAGAGCTAAGAGACACTGCCCAACCAGACAGATCAGAGGGACTATGATAGACCAACTTCTGTGTCCCATGGAAATATCCAACCTGGCTGCTTTAAAAGGGATGGAATGAAGGAAGAATTAAATCCTTAGTTTTTGACTTAAATAATTTTGTACTTGAAGGAATCCTTCCTAACTCTCTCTGGCTACAAAGAACCCCCACCTGAAAGCAGTTATGTTGGAAATAAGCTGCAGGATTTACCATACTGAACTCAAGGAGAGTTTATGCCTGAGGATTTTTTAAATCCAAGTAGTGTCTCCTCAAAAGTAATGTGGAGGAGAGAAAGCAGAACCTACCCTTGTATATCTAGCGCAGCCTTACTCACCATCCCCTGGCATCAAAAAAGCATAACAGAGATCTTCATAGCACCAAAGCTAGGATGAACAAAATACTGTGGAATTTCCACACTTTGTGACAAAGTGTTTTTGGGGAAATCTCAATATTCAATCCATTTTTCACAGACTTCTTGGAATAAAACAAAAATCTTAACATTTAATTGTTTTCTTAATTGAAGTAATTGTATGCTTTAAAAATAAATATTTAAAACTATATGACCAATCTGTGAAAAACTGTAGAATCATTTAAAGACTGTCATAATAAATGGAAGAATTTAATTTTAAGCATGTACATAATAATCACAGAAATGCTTAAATTTAAAAGCAATGTCTCTTTTGTAATTATCTGAATCCATCATTTCCTTTGTTTTGACAGATGTTCTTTTAATGGACAAGTTCTCAAATCATGTTGAGAAAATTCAGGGATATTTTAAGGCAACTGATGCTCATCTTGCCTTTTCACCTTCCAGAAGGTTTTTCATGTTTACATTTTGGATTTCAAGGGAATCCAGCTGCTTAATCTCTTCTCACCTCTTTGGAAGATTTCCTTCCAAGGAGATAACCTACAGTGCTCTTAATTAGCTCTGCAAATGGTCAAATGGATTTTTCTCAAGGTGACATGGAAATTTTCTGCTTCTAGACAAAAACATGGAGAGGAAAACCTAAAGAATCCAAATATTTTGAAAGTAATTTTATATGTGAACTTTCTAATTAATAATTTATATTTATAAAATTTATTCTTGCCTTTACTTCTATAAATTCCTTTTTAATTTTCTTATCATTTAAGGAAGGATTCACACAAACAAACCACATAGAGCTGTTTCAAATACTGTATACTCCCTGCTTTCCAGTTGCTGCTCAGAAAGGGTGTGGATCACCTCTAAGTTCTACGTCAGTTCTACCAGTCCTGTCATGTTCAAATTATTTAAGGACTAATTTGATAGGGCATTCTTTTCCTAGTGACTTCACTCACATTTTGTAAGAGAAAGGTGAGAAATTATCTTGCTAAACAAATCACTAAGGTGTAAGACATATATAAATAAGAACAAAATATATCTATATTGGATGTCAAGCTGTTTTCCTTCTCGGTACTCAGAGAGAAATGAAGAGAGCATTTTGCACTTGTAAATTTGCTATTTCCTCTATATGCCACACCAGCACTCTATGAAAATTGGAAGTTGTGTCTTGTTTTACAATTAAAAAAAAATGTTATTCTGCTGGTAATAGAACATAGGACGCAGTGGATTTCTGTATTGACAAGTCCTGGCCAAAAACAACAAAAGAAAAGAAAAAGTTTTCAAAAAGCTCTGCAAAATGTTTATGAATTCTAATCCTCAGCACATGAATAAATACATCTGACAAACTGCAGGGTACCTTACAAAGGCCTTTCCCAACCTTTCTAATTTGAGTTCAATTACATGTGTAGTGTTTAGAACTGAAGTTCATCTTGCCAATATTTTTAAACTAGGGTTGCACTACATACCATTATTTGTAAAAGTGAAAGGCAGATAATAAGTTATAATTATCCTATTAATCACCTGTAAAGAATTGTATTCAGGGAAGAATGCATCTTCAAATTACAGTAATTGGTTGTTTGAACAAGAATTTTTTTTTACGTCCTTGGCAGACCATGCTTGGAGTTTGCTGTGCAAACTCATGAATATTATGCTGAAATCATGCATTGTATATGCTGTGGGCCATGTGGTGTATATTGCCAGAAATCTATAGATGTCAACAGATGTGCTGATTTCTAATTGCTAACTAGGTATCAGACTTCCTCGTTAGTTCCTGCTCCTTGGCAACACCTTTACTATTCTTTTAAGCAAATATCAGTTTCTTATGGTAATCTTGGGAATAACATCCTCTCTGGAGTATCTTTCTCTTCTTAGCAGCCACAGCATATTTTGCCTTTGAAATTCTGCTGCACCAGACCTCTTGATGCATTTCCAGAAGACAATGCTGTGAGCACATGAGAATAATGCTTATTGCATGAGATGTTTCAAGTTATTAATGACCATGTTCATTTACAAATTAATTAAAAATGGCTGTATGGTTATTTTTGTCTTCACTCTCAGTTAGTGAATTGTTGTGTCTCCAGAGATTTACTTTGTTATACTTTGCAAACAGATAGACTCACAATTTATCTAATTTCTGGTCTCTAATTAGTCTAAAATAAAATGGAAGAAAATCTTTATTCCAGTACACTTATCTCATTCCTTTTTTTGAACAATCAAGTACTCCTTTTTTTGGATAATGTCAGTGACAGCTGAAATAGTAGTTGGGTGTGATATAGTGTTAAAACAAAATAAGGCAGTTTTCATAAATGGGTAGCACCACCAAATGGTAATAACTGGATAGAGGGACCCAAGGACCTACACAGAGTAGGACACATCATGTTATCAGCATTGTACATTAGTCCCACAAGGGTGCAAATTTCAGGGAATGGGTTTAGAAGGGCTATGAAAAGCCACTGATGTCGCAAGTTACTATCACGGGGAATATGATCTGATGAGAATGCCCTGGGATGGCAGCAGGCAATGCTGCATTCACTAAGACTGTCAAATGCCTCAGGCTGGGTTACATAATCCATATTTCAGCACCTAAATTAAATGACTAACATTGAGCTGAGTAACTTTTTCAGTAGCATATACTGCTGCACTGGAAAACTTTCCTTATGGGACTTGTCAAAGCGACAGTAGATAAAACCCAATGAAAGTCTTTTTTTTTTTTTTTTTTGCTATCTACTTCTTTATATTTCTCAGTCTTTTTTTGATAAAGCTTACACTTTATCCATTGCATGCATAATATAAAAAATAATGATCATAAAACTATTTTCTTGGTGTCATAAAGATGAAAAGCAAAGGTTTAAAAGAAAGTTCAGAAAGTCCTTCTATCCAATATCCATCAGAAGACACATTACTTCACATTATTCACATAGGTATGAAGTCTTGAAGATGAAGGGAACTGGCAGAGTAGCTTGGATTTTGACACTAGTACATTTGATTGGAGAGATTATATAGCTATTAACACTTCCCCTGAGGGGGTAAAAAAAAAGTAGCACACTGCACTTTATAACAAGATCTTGCAAAATTCACAATTTACGGTAAAGGTTTTGTCCCTTCATAAATTATTTTGACTGCACATTCAGCAAGTTTGTTTCCCTTCTTACCACATTTATAGGAGAAATGATATTTTTGGGTGGATGACAGAACAATTTTCACTAATATGAGTGCTTATCTTCCATTTGTATATATAAATAACACATAATCATATTTACTTAGTTTTATAATTCCCTCTCAAATGTTGTTAAATAATATATATAGTGCTTGATAAATCTTAGAATCTTCATTTAAATTACATAAAGATCAACCTGAGTCTTCATTTATAAGTTATTTTTTTATCTTGACCATATTTTTATTAATGTTTCAAAAGTGAAGTGTCAAAATTCTGCAAAAAATGTGTGTGCCTTTGCAATAGCCAGTTCCTAAGATTACCAGATACCTTTCAAAAATCATTTTTCCTGTGATAGATCCTATAAGATCCATTCCTGATAGATAATATGCACACCAATGGCTACCAATGATGTCAAGCCTGGTATTAAACACATCACTAGAAGCAATTTGGAGGTATTAAACATTACTCAGAACTGGAAATAATGTAGGCATAAACTAAAGGATTTGTATAACCATCTAATTTAGAGGTATTTATCTGAACCAGCTCATTTGAGATCTGCCCATCTCTAAGACACGTTCAAATTCCATGGTTTCTATACCAAATGAAAAATAGGACTGACACCATTGTTATTAAAAGAGTATCAAAGATAGAAGTTTCAGCAAACTCGGATCATTCTCTCCACCTCCTATGATTTATGTTTTACCTCATTTCCTAAAAGGGCGTTTATACACGCTTCAGATGCATCACAGATGGCAGTAAGGTCGTGTCCTCCCTCCAGTGCCAGCACAACACGGCCATCCGCTAGCTTCAGCAATTGCTTGGTTAGGTGACCAAAACCTAGTATTCAAATACAGTAGTGCAAATAATTAAAGCAGAACAGACATTACAGGCATATTTCACATCTGCTGCATGAGAATGTAGAAAGATCTCGAATATTGTACAGGGAACAGAGCATATACTTAGTTCACTATTTCGTTTCTGATCATGGCCCACACCAGATGCTTTGGAGATAGTAAATGGAATTTTGTATGAGGCAGACGTGAGATAATATCCCTCATGCTGATCCTTCATTGCTGGAGATCAGTTGAAACATAAGATTGTCTCTTTTCTTACCTTTGTTAACCATTATCACCTTGGATTCTCTTCCTATTTGCATATCAATGCAATGTAAACGCATATGTTATTAAGATAGATCTGATATAACTCAAGTCACTTAAGGCATTAATTTGACAAATAATATTTGCATTTAAACTACGATGCTATAATTAAAAATAATAGAATTTTTCAAATGAGATGACAAATGTTTTTATTTACAAATTGCTTCTTCCTTTGTATTTGGGATTTGAGAACAATATACAAGCATGGATGAAAATAGTAGAAACATATGTTATCCTTTAGCTTCATCTTGAAGTATTTTTGGAAGCAGCATTAACAACTAGATCACTTATTTTTATTCAAGGTTTTGGTATAAGTTGAAACTCTCCAGAATTTTGTAGATATCTCTACCAGTATCACTCACTCCTGATCAACAATGTTTTAAGAAACTCTGCACCACAGCCAAAACTGATGGTACTTCATTTTCTGTGTTGATCTCTAACTACACAAACACTACCACAAAGTTTTCATCTGTGATTCAAGTCAAATTAATTTATTCAATTTTTAATGACAAGAAAAATGTCAATTTGGAGTGAAAATTTCGGAAAGAATTTTTGTGGTAGTTTCCTATGACAGCTATTGTTTTTGTTTAATCTCTTTTAAGTAAGAAAAGATAAATAAAGCTTTGAAACTACTGACATTAAATAAGCATCACATCTTGTTCTTAACTTTTCCACTTGATCTGTACTAGTTGCTTTACTGATGGTCATCACTACTCATTCCAGTGCATTTCATATCCTTAAATAAAGCATTTAGAATATACCTGATAAAGCCTGGGGCTCTATAAAGATAGGAAAATCAACATCTTTTTACTATATTCCAGTGAAGAAGGCCATCAAAAATTAAAAACTGCAAAAATTACAAGCATATTTTCCAGAGAAATATTCCAAGACAGGTTTAAGGCTTGATCTGGTAAAGCAATCTCATGTTTAATTCCATTTGTATCTTACTACTTTGTTAAGCATGTGTACAACCGTTTTTAAAATGGGGACTTTGATGATACCAGATTTGGACTAGCTGTGCACACCAGAAAAACCAAACAACAAAACCTCCTCTACTTGCCACTTAATCTATAGATGATCACAGAACACTTGAGGTGAAATATTGTTTTCTTGAATCACTGCACAATCTTCTGTACCCTGTAAATACTGCAGTTTTGATTCTAGCTGTTTTTGATGCCACACTGTTTCAAATTACATAAGGAGTTGAAAAAGAAATAAAATCTTAAACTCTCATTTAAACTCAAACTTTCCTCATGAGAAAAAACAACAAAAAGCAACAAAACAGAGAAAAAAAAGAAAAAAACCACCCAATCTTTTCTACAAAAGACTAAATTTAGACAGGATAATAAAAGTGAAGGAAGGAGTGGAATGAGGATAACCTTTGATCTTTAGCCAGTTTCTACTTTCTTTTACCTACAAGATTTATTTCTGTCTGCACATTGCACATGCAGTCTTTGGGTTCATAAGAAGAGAGTGCCAACAGCATAAAGTGAGCCGTACATACAGCATTTAAAGGAAATGAAGGAGAATGAACAGGCACAGGCTCCCCACATCTATAACTCACCCTTTGGGCCTTTGAGGAATCCAATAGCACTTTAAGACATCATTATCCTTCGTGTTATACGGATTCTGTGAAGGTAAAGCTCTACCATGTTTCCCTTGCACATTTTGAAAATTTTGTATGACTACAAATATTGCTACCACCACATCGTAATCTTCTGAGGTATGTGTGGCAATAAATGTAAATATTCTTGCTATGCCTTCTTCTTCTTTTAGGCAACATATGTAATATAACTCATAGACATTTTTACAATATTAGTTTGCCAACTTGGTTTCCTAATGAATTTTCTAGTCTCAATGTTATAATAATCATCCCTGGCTGAGTCAGGATGCAATGAGCCATACAGAAAGCATCTTTCCCAACAGAAATCACAGTAACAAAGTGTTTCCAAACCAAATCAACATGATGGGGCTTTACTTCAGTGCAATTACCCTGAGAAGTAACGGTGACTTGCTAGAAAGGAAGGGAATAACTTTATCTAACTGTACCAACATTGCCAGTGACTGAACAAGTTATGGAAATTCTTAACAAAAAACTTGGATTCTGTGTCACTGCAGTAACCTAGGAAAGATATTAGCTTCCTCAAGGAAATCCCCTGGAGAGCAGAAGTAAGAAAATGGAGAGAAAGGAATCCCAGTCAAGTAATAGTTTTAAGATGGGCTGTAGTTCATGCCAAATAATTAAGGAAAACAAGAAGAAAATAGTAACAAGCACCATTAAAAGAATCTCTCATCTCCCCTGATATAAGGGGATCAAGAACTGACCAAGCCTAAGGTGAGAAAGTAGTCAGACTTTCAAATCCTGGATCTTCCAACTCACGTGAATTTCTAGAAATCAGTAGCAGTTCTTTGCCCTTCTACCATGCTTGCTAAAGTCTTGCAAATGTGCTCAGTGGCTTTGTACTTCAGGGAATTTGCAGCATTTTTTAAAATTAGGCTCATACACCGTGCCAGGAAATTGTGAGAATAGTTTTTTGACAACTATCATTTTCATAATTTCTGTAATTTAAATGTTAATAGTACCTGTTTCCTTCACAGATGCCATAATTAGACATCCAGGGTAGAACTTGCAAGAGCACTTAATATTCATTTGCTATGATCATCTCAAATATGATGATTAACCTTCAATTTCCACAATAAACAACATTAAAACATTTCTAAGTAATTCTGAAATTCCTACTCACCAACTAGTTCACATTTGCTTGACCAAAAAAACAGTGAGTGCACAATTGTACATCTGAACAAAGAAGACTATATTAAAACTGTACCAATTATAAACCATTTTATTTATTGGAGAGATAAGCAGTATCTGAGCTGTTATTTGCTGACCTTTGGTTTAAAGATATAAACCTTTAAAACAAAATCATAACATGCACTTTTTAATTATACCCTTTCTCCTCCTCCAGTGCTATTATTGGAGGATATAACACTCAGCCTTATGTAAGAAAATATCCTATTGTGGGAAGGCAGAAAGGGAGAAAATTAGTATTCTACTAATGACCCAGCTGTCAGACTGTTATTGAAGGATACAGTGTGCTGATTACTTGAATGACCATCTAATCAAGTAATTCATCTTTTAGTGGACTGATACCCTGATAAAGACCCTGGGTTTTTTTCTACTTGTTACAGACAAACTCCCCTCACACTTCTTGTAGTTCTGCCAAGCAGCAAGGCATGGCACAGGTGAGACTTCTGCCTTATATAATAGAATCATAGAATTATCAAGATTGGAAGAGACCTTTAAGATTATCAAGTCCAACCATTAACCTGTCACTCCACTGTAACCCTAAACCATATCTTCCAGCTCTAGGTCCAGCTCTTAAAAGCCTCCAGGGGTGGTGACTCTACCACCTCCCTGGGCAATCTATTCCAGTGCCTGACCACCCTAACACTGAAAATTTATTTTCTAATATCTACTCCGAATCTCCTGTGTCTCAGCTTATGGCCATTCTCTCTAGTCCTCTCACTGCAGGCACAGCAGCAGAGACCATCCCCCACCTGTCTACAACCCCCTTTCAGGTAGTTGTAGAGAGCAATGATGTCATCCCTGAGCTGTCTCTTCTCAAGGATAAACAAACCCAACTCCCTCAGCTGTTCCTCATATGGCATGTTTTCTAGGCCTTTTATGAGCCCCACTGCCTTTTATTGAACTCACTCCAGTGCCTCAATGTGCTTTTTAAAGTGGGAGGCCCAAAACTGAACACAGTACTCAAGGTGTGGCCTCATCAATGCCAAGTACAGGGAGATGGCCAAAGTCCCTGGAACAAATGGATTTACTGAAAACCAAGAAAAGAATGTTGAACCCTATAAAAAGGGAATCCATAATTATTTCAGTTTTCTTTTGTTGTTTTTGAGGTATCCTTACTCTGACAACCTGAAATGGAAAGTAGCAAGCAGAAGACAGGTAAAGCACCTCTTATCCAGGTCAGTTCCCCTTCAACAGACTCATCACATAACTGTGTGTTGTGTTATGGCTAGATGAAGCAAAGCTAACAAGTCACTGTATGTACAGTCTCCCATTTTGCAAAAGAAATATTTGAGAATGAAGACAACTTGTGAACGTTATTCTTTTCACATCCTTTCCTCAGCAGACAGGGAAAGGAACCATATGCATGGGGTGCACTCCCAGCCAGCACCACAGCATTGCTTGTTTGCATAAATAGTAGTATATGCAACTCAATTTGCTCTCCAGCAAATGTGCAAACACCCAGTTAGTGGGGACTAAACCTGCCTCAGCAGGAGAGACTCCTTCCCTCTCCCCCACTGTGCATAAGGAGAGCAGATGTCTCCCACACAGTCATTTTTTTGGGTGACAGCAGGCTGAACAAAGCCATGGTGCTGGCCCTTGCTCATGGGAGGCAGCTGGTGAAGGAACAAGGACACGTCAACAAATGAAAGGTTGGCGAAGCTTTAGAGTTATGGAGAAAGCCTCAGCTTTCTCAGCCTCATCAGCAGGGCCCCAACAGCTCTTTTTGGCTTCAGTGTCTTAAAAGCTGCAACCCAACCCTAAATTACAGGCAGAGTTCTGGTGAGCTCCTCTGGATACTTGGAGCAGCCTGGAGAGGAATACACGCAAAACACAAAAACTCCACAGTCTCTGTCCTGGACCTCCAAGCATGT